ACACTTCTGAAGAGAGTAAGTTTATTTCTTATCCTAATTCATTTTTCTCAATACCTGAGCTTCATTTCATGAAAAAAAAAAAATTACTCTTGACAGAGTATTTTAGTTGAGTGCTGGCAAAGTAAGACCAAGCTGGAGTGTAGTAATTTTTACACTTCTTTTGCATTGCTCTTATAAAATAATTTGTCCTTAACTTCCCTTATCATTCTGGATTTTGTAATTTTTTTTTCTCCCTGTTTTTGGTAACAGTATGCTTCTTACTGTGGGAAAACTAAGTCTTCCCCATTTCACAGGCTTCAAGTCACCATATTTTGACAGCCTTGATTTGAGGATAGGCACATGACCAGGATTTAGCCACTTAGAATTTCTCTCCCTGACCACAGTGCAATCAATTCAGTGGTTAGGACCCCAAGAAGAGTCAACTAGGGGCCCTCCCTAGACTATGACATACACATGTTTGGAGAGAAAAGCTGAGATGTTAGGCTATGATATTGGCCTTGGGCTATTGGGGCTGTCTTCTCCCATGTGGAGAAAACCTGAATGCCCCAGAGTCAGAAAGATGTTGAGTCAAATAAAGATGAGAAATGGGAGACAGAAAGCCTTTTTAAAAAATATTTTATTTAACTTTATTTATTTATTTATTTTAATTTGACCAGAGAGAAACAGAGCAAGGGAGAGGGGGAGCGAAAAAGCAAGCTGCCAGGTTTGAAACTCGAACTGCGGTCGGCCATGTGGGAGTCCAACGCCCTTCACCACCATGCCACATGCTGGCCCTACAGAAAGTCGTAATGACACAGACAACTCTGTCCTTTCCACAAGTATGTGAGCCAATAAACCACTTTTTTCCCCTCTGCTCATTAGTTTGAGTGGAATTTTTGCCCTTATAATTAAAAGCCCCAACTAATATAACTCTAGTTCAAGACATTCATACATCTAACCAGAATCAACCTGCTTGGGGTATGAGAGCTAATCTCTTCTGTCACTTTCCCTTCATGTTCTTTTTATTTTTATTTTTTATTTTTATTTTTTTTTTATATAGGGTGCATGCACTCGCCAGAAAGAGGGATAGAAAGCAAGAAATCACCCCCCCGGGGGGAATGACCATGCCACATTCTCTTCTCCTCCATTCTCCTCTCGGGATCTTGGGCACACACACCCACACACCCGGCATGAGTTTAAGCCACCAGGTCTGGGACTCGAACCGCGGTTGACTTCATGGGAGTCCAGAGACATAGCCATTATGCTAACTGCTGGTCCCTCCCTTCGTGTTCTAACCTACCTGTGAGACAGCATATCCAGGGAGATTTTCCTTGAAGATTGCAATGAAGTGATATGGCTTAAGGCTAAAGCTAAATTAGGGCTTTCCCCAGTTCCTCTCCCATCTAGGCCTTCCATCTTTCTGCTGAGAGAAAGATAAGCCTGCCAGGAAAACAGCCCCTCAGTCAGCAGGGCATAGGATCAGGACCTGCTTCATAAGCCCTGGTACCAGCAGAAAAGAGAGCCTACCCAACAGATGTCATAGTGTGAGCCTCATTTTAAATTCAGCGCTCCTGCCTCCTGCTTCTATTGGCTTGGCCTGATGACACTATTAGATTAAGCCACTCATCGTTCCTTTGGGGGGAGAGTAAGCAAGGATGGTGCAGAAAGGATAATGTAGTTCGAACCTTCAGGGACTCTACAAGTCTCCTTTCTTCTCTGGACTCTCCATTTTTCTTTCTTTCTTTCTTTCTTTTTTTTTTTTTTTT